CACCCATGCTGCCCCGCATTGGTGGGGGAGGGAGGGTGGGGTACATGCCCCACCATCTGTGTGCAGCGGAGGCAGCTGCTGCTGCTGACTGGGCTTTGCACCCTGAGCCCTGCTGCAGCTGGCCCAGGAGCAGCCGGACACTACACTACGTATGCTTATCACATGGTTAAGTCATATAGCAGTCAAAAATAAAGCGCTGCATATTAGACGGATTACAGAACGTACAATATTTTAAAAATCCTGCAGTTCATACAAAAAAAACTTCTTGGATTTAGCACAAGTACAGTACTCTTAAGAATAAAAATCAGATTCTTCCCTATTGCAGATATTGGCATTTAAAAATTATGTAATGCGACAACCGTGTTTTATAGCTTCTTGTAGAACTATTACTCCAACCTAAATTTATACAGATCCAGCTTCTCCCAATTTAAATCTAGGCTACACTAAATATTAAAAATAGGCTGAAAAGATCAAATAGTTTACATTCAGATTTTGCTCTACTTTCACATGTAGTAGCAGCTAAAGAATGAAGTAAACCACTAGCAGGGCTGTAATTATCTGAGTGACAAGCTTTTGTAGGTTACTTCCAAGATATATTCCAAAGGGGCAATGCACAATATATTTGATATAGTATGTTATAGTTTCTTACCCTCAAGAATTCATTAAAAATTGTTTCAGTAGAGCCATAAAAATTATGGTCCCACTATTCCGGGTACTCTACAAAAATGGATGAAGCAGCCAATCTGTGACCCAAAAAACATATTTCCTTTGGAGATTATCTGTTCCTGCATACAGATTATTTATAAATTACTGTAGAGCACTCATAAACAAGCTATACAAAATTAAGACAAATTAGAAAAGTCCAAGTTGCCAGAGCACAATTAGCATATAGATATTGATAGTAGCGCGTCCTACATTTGTTCAATGTTGACTTCTGCATGGGATGTGAGTGCTGATATTGAGACTGCAGTTATATGATGTTCTTCCATAGAGACTGCTAATGTCAGCATTTGGATTCTTTTTTTTCACCAAAGTCATGTTAAGATTTACATGTTGCCTTGGAACACACATCACTCCAAATCTCAGATGTACAACCAGCATTAGTTTTTCTGCAAGCAAAACACTGTAAATATTTAATGTTTCACTTACCCTTGGTGGTAGCTGGTTTTATCAGCTGTTTAGTCACAGAAGCTGCTGCTCTGGTGATTCTTACATTTGAGACTGTGGGGGGGCCTGCAGGTTGCAACACTGCAAAATACATAGACAATTATACCTCCACAGCTATTTCAACAAAACTCAGAGCAAAGCAACATTCACTTGAAGCAACTGTCAAATTTTAGGCAAATCTGGCTTTTGCAGAAGCAAGCAGCCAGCGTACTGACACCAGAAAGTGCTGTATTAGCTTGCCAGGGTCTGTAGCAGGGTTCTCTTTGTCAGAATAGCTCATGCACCCAGACTGCTGAAAGATAGAGGTGCACTGATATATTGGTCACATAATCGGATCGGCACTGATAACAGGAAAATTAACATCATCGGCAATCAGCTTTTTTTGGTCGATAATGTCACTGATAAATGCTACATGCATACGTGCAGCCACAGCATGTATGCAGCCAAGAACACAGCCCAGCAGCTTGGATAGCAGCTTCCTGCCGGTACATCTGTGGGGAGAAGGGGGCATGGGGGATGGCAGATGGAGGCCTCCATGATGACTCAATGAGGGAGGGAGTGGGGCAGGGGCAAGAGCTGCCCAGCCAGGGTGGTGAGCGCGACCCCAGGGCTGGGAGAGGGACAGGGAATTTTTGGGTGGCCATAGCCCCTCAGCACCCCCCCAAATATCACCCCTGTTCAGGGTGGGAAAGGGAGCCGAGTGGAGTGCCCTGGCTGTGCTGGGAGGGTTTATGGGGCTATGGCCACCCCAAAATGCCCCATAGCCCCACCTCCTAGAGCTGCCACTGTCCACCCCTTGCAGCTGAACCTGCCCCTGCCTGTCCTGAGCCAAGCCCTACCCCCCACTGGGAAGAGGCTGACGCAGTCTCTGGCGCTAAGCCCACAGGGGGCAGCTCGCCCTCACCTCATGCACAAATCTGGGGATACACATGCCCCCAGTGCCTCCCCCGGGGGTGCACAGTAACAGGGAGCCGCCCCCCTCTCCCCATCCCTCACGCCTCTTGGGTGAGCCACCCGCAGCTCCATCCCATTCCTGGCCCCAGGGTCATATTCACTACCCTGGCTGGGCAGCGCCTACCCCTGCCCCACTCCCTCCCTCACTGTGGGGGCTTCCATCTGCCCCCCCACCCCCTCCTTCCCCCACTGAATTATGGGCAGAAGGCTGCTCTCCAAGCTGCTGGGCTGCATTCCTATAAAACGGCTATCAGATCAGCATCAGCTGATATGGCTGGTTAATAATCAGCTATTGGTATCAGCTAAGAAAATTATTATTGGTGCACCCCTATTGGAAGCACAAGTTCAGACCTGGTATCTTTGCTCTGAGGTGCTTAGACTTGTCTAAAGCTTGAGAAATATCCTTTGTACTATGGATGTACTAAAGCCTCAAATGAGATCAAGGCAATTACTAGACTAAACAGTAAGCTCTGAAGAAGGGCAGTTTTGCATGTGTGTAAATAGGTATATTTATTTTTAGGCATGGAGAAACAGTAAGTTATCAAAAAAATGCATGGTAGAACTAGGAATTGGAATAGACACCCAACTCAAAAGAAATGCCATTTAGTAGGTCCACCTAGCCCAGCATCCTCTCTCTTTCAGTGGCAGAAAGTGGATGCTGCGGGAGATCGTGAACGTGGCATGTTCCAAATTTTGTATGCCCTGTTCCTATCTCATTGCAGCTTTCAGCATTCAAAAGTTCAGGAAGATCTCATTCAGAGGCTGTACCCCTATCCACCACGTTCAACACCTACTGACAGTCCTTTCCTCCAAGAATTGGTCCAATCCCCTTTTGAACTGGATTAAGCTATCAGCCTCTACAACTTCTTGTGACCATGAATTCTACAAGTTAATTACAGGCTGCCTGAAAAAGAACTTCCTTTTGTTCATTTTAAACCTACCACCTAAGATTAATTTCATGTTCCCTAGCTCTAGTCATCTGAGAGGTCATAAATAACGATATATCAATTGGATTCATCCTGATTCAGTCTTATTGACACCCTCAGAGATCTCTCATACGCTAGTGAATCATGTTCACAGCTGGTGCACCTCCAGAAGTATGCCCTTCCTATTTAGACTTGGAATTTCTACCCACTGAGGTTCTTGGGTACATTTAAAAACTAAAAAATAATCAGTTCAGATCTCTCCCCTGCTAACTTAAGGCACTCTTTGACATAGATTGCCACTCCTCCATCACCAACAACTATTCCATCACCCTTGTATAGTTTGTACCCTGGTATTAGTGTCCCATTGACTTTTCTCATTCTGCCACATTTTGGAGATACCTATTATGTCAGTGCTGTCATTTAATGCCAGGCATTCTAGTCTCGCCCCCACCTCCCCCCACCCAGCTTAAGCATGCAAGCGCTTTTTATTATTGTCTAGTTGCCTACTTCTGTGTGTCCTGTTAACCCAGGAATCTATACTTTTGTTGCTTCTCTCTGTGCTTAATTAACCTGAGCCCTCCCATACTGTTTCCTGTCCTCTTGGAGAAGCTCTGAATTGCAAGCAATTTCACCTCCTTAGTGTACCCTTCCAGACCTGCCAGCTTTCCCCCAGTTTTCAGTCTGCTCTATCAACTGTTCATTACCATTCTGGTTTAGGTGGAGCCCATCCTTCCTGAAAGGCTCCTCCTATCCCCAGTGGATCCCCAGTTCCCAATAAACCTAACTCCCCAACCCCAGCCCTGCCTCTACACCATCTCCTCTACTGCATGTTCAAACGCTGCAGCTCTGCCTGCCTCCAGGAACCAGGGCATGGTACTAGAAGCATTTCAGAAAATACCAGATCCAGCTCCTTTTACTCTTGCCCCTCAGCAAGCTGCCTGGCGAACTGCCCTGCTTGCTCTCTGCTATTCACTTAGGAGCTCCCTTTTATGCTATCCTAGGGCTGGGTTAACTCTGCTTCCTCATTAGGGCACAAGTGGAACCAAAGGCAGCAACTTCTCCCGGGTACAAACACACACTCCAAGCACACTGTAGTAACCACCGCCAAACGACCAGGCCAAATTCACTCACTTTGCAGTTGCCAGGAGCCAGATGCAGCTCCTTTTCCTCTTGGCTACCCCCTGGGGTGCCTTTGCAAACTAACCTATTTGTTCTCCCCTGTTCACTCCCAAAATGAAGTCTTAACTAAAAGGCCACCCTTCTCTCCCCAAAACAATCAAACCATTTTCAGACTAGACATTTCAGTCTAGAAGGTGCCAGGGTGAATTCAGAGTGAATTTTTAAATTAAAATAAGCGTGTCTAATTAAGAGTCCATAATTCAGTCTGAATTCACAGAAAGCTAGTCAGAAGCCCAAATTAACTATCAACTATTGGGACTATTTTCAAATGCTGAATTTTTTCCTTTTCATCTTAAGAAAACACTGCTTTTGTATAAACAGAACCAAAGGGAAACATTTTCTCTTCCAAGGCAAGTTTTAAATATGGCACAGCATCATGTGCTATATTAAATTTGTAGCTATATCACTTTTCTTCACAACTGAGTAAAAGTTGGTATTTATTATCTCCAACAAGTGACAGTAAGTTTATCATTGTTGTATAGCAAAGCTCAGCAGGAAAGCTTCTGGTCTCATTCTTTTCCCCTTGGGTATCCAATATATTAAAATATTTTCCATCCAACAAGCTTAATTTAAAAACACTATTTTAAAATGGAATTGCTCGGTTCCCAGACAAACTAGTGTGGCCAACATGAATCAGCAGCTTACTAGGCAAGAAAAGAAAAATCATCAAAATGTAGAAAGAAAGAATCTGAATAAATATATTGTATCTTCCTAGTAAGCAATAGTACCAGATTTAGCATACGCCATATTTAGTTATAAATAAATCAGTATGCTTTAATTGTTATACCAAGCAATGATTACCTATTAAAATAAACCAATATGCTAAGAGAGACAAGTAAAATCAATCACTTAAAGATTTACTGCTTGCTGATTTAAATACTTAATATTGGTGAATTTCATCAGATCTGCCCTGAAGTTTACTTAGATTTTTAAATTAGTTTGAGCATCCCGTATGAATCATCTCTCATAGCTATTTTAGGAACCTATATTACAGTTGTCTCTATGAGCCACAGCTCCAGACTAAGACACTTATTTGCTTAAAAATAATTGCAGCACGATTTTAAAAACATGTATGGAATCATTGCACAGTAAGTCTGATAACTGGACAGACGCTGTCGGCAGGATCCTGTTTTAATGTATACGGTGTGGCTGGATACGGTTACATTATACCACTTACAAAGCAACAAGGCCCAAACACAGCCACACATTTAACTGTACTAATGCCTTGTACAGGATTTTAACTGATGCCCTATGAAGACAAAGCAAATTGTTTCACTCAAGGCGGCTTAGCACATTCTTTTAAGAACTGTTCTTCAATGTGTTGAGTCGCTTCAGGGATAGCAGTCTGAACTAAATCAGGGGTTGCCAACCTGTGATACATGTGGCACAAGTGGCATGGGCTGCCTCTCTATGTGGTACATGGTAGATTGGGGAGGGAGCAGGCAGCACAGCAGTAGATGGAGCAAGGAGCAGAAAACAGAGCAGCAGATCCAGCAGGGAGTAGAACCAAGTCACTCATATGCTGCCCTAATAACCTTTCAGAAAAGGATTAAACTGACTGCAAGAACCTTGCAACCCTCTACAACCTCTGTAGTCTTACTATATGTCTGTGTATCTACACCCAGATATTCCAGGAACAATTTCTTTGTTCGTGCAATTTGGTAAAACATATTTGCTCATGATCTAAATTTGAACATTTATGATTAAAAAACCCAACCTACTTTGCACTGAATAGACTTGGATTTATTAGAGAATTTCCCTAAACATCTGGAGACATGAAGAGGATAGAAGACACCTGGTACACAGAATTGTTCACTTCCCGATCTTCCAGTTTAATTAAAAACCATGAAGGCAAAATGTGGCCCAGGTGATAGAGCACTAAGCAATGGAGCCATGACACAGAACAAAAATCAAGTTCTGGAGACATCAATGCAGGCAGCAAACTACTGACAGAATATCAAAGGAAAAGGTAGTCCCTTGCTGACTAGATAAGAGAAGTTTCTACCTTAACAAATGATCAAAAAAAAGAAATGGTCAAGGAAGTGTATGGGATGCTGGAGTGTTTTGCAAAAGTTCAGAAAACTGTTGGGAGTCTGACAGGAACTACTCTACTGTTAGCAGTTAGAAGCTGACCTTGAAACGTGGGGACAGCATAGGTACCAAAAGTATACTGGCGAATTTGCTTATACAAGTAAACTCAAGTGTTAAAATATCAAGGACTTTGGGACTAACTAATTAGTGGGAAGCTAGTGTCCATCATTATTATCAGAGAACAAGCTTTTTACATATCTTCAACAAAAATATTTACTTAAATAATTCTAATAGAACAATTTGAACATCTGCCACAATGTGTTATGAAGCATTCCACTTGCTTGTGAATCACACTGTGAAATTGTACACTCCATTTTCTTTGCTCAAGGGGAAAGCAAGAGAATGGAAAGTGGATTGAAATTTCAGTTTTATGGCTAGGAGCAAATTAAGCAATCCATTTCCCAGCACCGTGGACTTTAAACAGAACAGTGTTCCTTTCTCTTGGAACCATTCTACATTCATACCTTTTTTCCCTTTTTCAGTCACTTTGTCTGCAGGCGCCTGTCTACGTCCAGTTTGGGCAGGATGAATGCTATGCCCACTGGTAGCACGGTCAGCACAGATCTACAAAGACAGTTTGTGTTTTGTGAATCTTCAGCATCCTAAGAATGAGTTAATCTAGTTACTTTCTTTATGCCCTGAGCAGGTTAATTTGCCCTTTCTGCAAAGCTCTGATGACTTGAGGCAGGTGATCAGAACTGAGTGATATAAAGGCGTTGAAAAAGAAGGGAGATTACGTAACTGAAATCTCACTTTCGATGCTTCTATTAAATGTACATTATATTTCTAGTAACCTACTAGTGAAATCAGTTTAGGAAACTGGATTTTTAAAGCTTACTTGGAAAATGGGTAAAAATTTTCCACTCAAACTTTATACACATATTTTAGAAGACAGTTTTCAGAAAACGTTTACTGTATTTACTCACACCCAAGATGAAGTTCTTTCCCCCAATCAACATGGAAAAGGTTGGGGAAGGAAGCCTAGTCTTAGAGACTTCTGAGTAACAGTCCAGGTTAGGTTCAGCCAGAATTAAGCCACCACCTGCCCTGGGCCAGGAGGTAGCTCGTGCAACAGGGAAGTGGCCACACAGTGGGAGAAGCACAAGGGAGACTGAATGGAGGAAGGGAATTGGGTGGGGAAGAGAAACAGGCAAGGGGAACAAGCACAAGCACAGGGTGAGGAAGTGGGCAGAGATAGGCAACAGAGAGCACATGGTTGGGGGTGGCAGAAGGGCACCAGAAGGGTCAGTAGCAGGAGGGACAGGCATAGGCATGAGGGGTAAGGGGTGGTTTGGAGGTAGAGGGACAAGTAGTAAGGGGGGGACAAAGCACCAGCGAGGAGAGGAAAAGTGATGTGGGGAGCAGGCACATTCATGTGGGGCCAAGGGGGCATGCAGGGGAGGCAGTCTAACCCACTGCTCCCCAGTGCTACTTTATGGGGACAAATTTTAAGAAAACCATTCGATAATTAGATTCTATGTATGAAAAATTATAACAAATTTATAATACTCCATGTGTAGAATCTAATTATTAGGCGGTCATTTTAAATTCTACGTCATCTTGGATTCAGGTAAATACCACATGAAAAGGATAGCACAGTAAAAATCTTGATTAGTGATTCTTCAGATAACCTTGTCTCACCCAAATCAAATGTATTTGAGCTATACTATTACCTCTCTCAAAGGTTGCATCAAATTAAATGCTTTTTACACAAGTAACGCCAAAATGGTACAATATTCAATTAAACTAGCAATTACGGTTGACATATTTCAGTCTTGAAGGGGTGTTTAAGGACAAAAAATTTAAGACAAAGCACCATGTATTTTTACTAGGATATATCAGGCTAGACGTTTTCAGACTTCTGCCATAGCAAAAACCAGACCTTGGGTTCTCTCCTGAACTACCTGTCCTTTTGCTTGCAATCACAAATTGGTACATGGAAAGACAATACTAGTAAACCATTTTTGCAGTGCAGTTTATCAGCCAGAAACATGAAGTGCAATGCGACCCCTAAAAGCACAAGCAAGTGTCCTGGGCTAGTTTATCTACTTCTCATCAGTATAGCTAGTTTATAATAGCTAGAATATTTAACTTGGGTCTAGTATTTAACATGAATCGACACAAAGGACAAAAGTAAAAGACAAAAATACAGAATACACACCGTGAAAGGCTGAGATCTTGTTGATGTTTGTTCTGCTTGGCTCTTCGCCTTTGATCTTGTAATGCGTGTGGAGGAAGCAGGAGCCAACTAAAAACATCCCCAAAGAAATGTTAACATATTCCTTTTCCCTCCTATTATAACAATGTCAGAAGAAAGTACTGTGAAAAAAGGTTGACATTTATCTGCATTTGAAAGTGAATTGGATTAAAGTAATTGCACTTTACTCCTGGCTTCTAAGTGTATTGAGCTGAAGAGGAACTAGGTAATGTTATTCCACAGCAAGTGTCTGTACATGGAACCATTCCATTCATTAGTAGCTCCATGTGTAGACAAACCCTAAGCCTGTGAACAGACATCACAATTGTCCCAGGACAGGCTTTTATGTGGGTTCATACAGACATACATATACATTATTCCACTTCAAGTCCTTTTGAAGTATGCCAGATAAAACGTACTAACACTTTTTCCTGGGACATGGGTTGTATATCCATTCAGTTATTTTTAGTTATTTTAGGGAGAAGTCTGTCAGGCTGCATGTCCACTGGCAACCCACTGGCAAAGGAGCAGAAATGCAGCCAATACATTTAAATAGGAAAGGCCAATACATTTAAATAGCTACACCACTGCTGTTTTGATCTAGGGCAGAGGTGGGCAATTATTTGGGCTGGAGGGCCATTTACTGAGTTTTAGTGAGCTGTTGAGGGCTGTGCACATGTACACTTTCACACTCTGGGCCAGAGGAGCAGCAGCAGGAGCCCACCTGGGGCTATAGTGTCTTATCATTCTATCCGGCCCGTGGGTCCCCTAAAAAATTTAGAAAATTAATATTTATCCGTCTTTGGTTCCTGTCAAAAATGACAAACTAGGGGCAGTAGGACCCAGGGGAAGTCTGCCCGGCTCCCACAACAGCAGGGCCCACCCGGCCCCACCCCCCAGCCAGAAGCCCCAGAAGGGGCTTCTGGCCTGGGAAGGCAGGGGAGGAGCCCCAGGAAAAGCAGCCCCCACCACATGGCCAGGACTCCCTGCTGCAGCCACTCGCAGCACACGCGGGGCTGTCCTGAGCAGGCACAGGCACCCCCAGCACTCAGCACCAGCTTGTAACCCACCCCCAAAGCCAGTCTAGGCTCTGCACCAGCTCCAGGCTCACCTGTCGGGGCTGCGCCATGGCAGCGGCAGCTGCAGAGCCCCCCACGCAGTATTTGCTGCTGCTGCTGCCTGCCCAGAGCTTGCATGCTGGGCAGCACAGAGGCGGTGGTGGCAAAACACTGCCCGGTGCGGCAAGTAGGGGGGGCTGCAGCTGCTGCCACTGTGTGCAACCCCGATGGGTGAGCCCGGAGCTGGTGCAGGGCCCAGGCTGGCAGCGGGGGCAGGTTACAAGCGGGTACTGAATGCGGGGAAAAGCAGCCCCTCCCCCAACCTGTGGCCAGCACCCCGCACTGCAGCCACTCACAGCCTACCTGGGGCTGCCTGTGCCTGCTCCGGACAGCCCCCCACAGGCTGTGAGCAGCTGCAGCGCGGAGTGCCGGGCACGGGGCGGGGGAGGGGCTACTCTTCTTTGCACCAGCTCCTTCCCTGCTAGGAAGCAGGGGGTCGGGGCTGTGCACTTCCCCTAGCCTATACCGCGAGCTGGGGGGCACTGGGAGTGAACAGGTGCACAGGGGCCACACCAGTGTCCCAGGGCCAGCACCGGCAGGGCCCAGAGCAGGGCGGCAGGAGTACAGGGTCCTGGCTGGCAGATGCTGTACAGAGCCGGGCCAGCTCCCTCCTCTCCCTGGTGGTGCAGCCCAGCCTGGCTCCACAGACCCCTGCCAGCCTGTGCCCCACCGGTGCTGGCCCTGAGACATTGGTCCCAAGATGATGACCAGGGGGACAGGGCACCTGTCAAGGGGCGGGGCTACCCATGCGGCCCTCGACAGCTTGCCAAAACTGGGTAAGCGGCCCTCCACGCAAAATAATAGCCTCCCCGTTCTCTCTTCCTCCCTAACCCCTGCCCCGCCATGCTGTCAACCTGGCTGACACCAGCAGGCAGGAACCAACGGGCTGAGAGCCACATTGTGGGGAGAGAATACCCCCAGCTCCTGGCCTCCCCATCCCCCACTGTGCAGCTGGAGGGATCAGTCCCGTGTCGGCATGTGTCTGTTCTGTCCCCCCACACTGCGGTGCTGGGCAGGCAGGGCCAAGTTTCTGTGTTGGCACTGGGGGGGTGGAGGTGGAACATGATGATACTGGGCAGAAGCAGCCCCACCTGCCTGCCAGCATCCATCTCCCAGGCTGCCGTGTGGTACTGGGTGAGCAGCTGGGCAGCACTGCTTCCACCCAGCAGTCCCTGCTGTGCCAGCAGAGGCCAGAGTGGGAGCTGCCACCCACCAACTTGCTAATTGAATCTATCTATGGGTGGGCAGCAGCTCCAGCTCCAGCATGGGCCAAATAGAATCAATTAGCAGACCAGATATAGCCCCGCAAGCCATATTTTGCCTACCACTGATCTAGGCTCATACCCTGGTACATTCAGTCCAGGGTCAAATGAAATGTCTGTTTACAAGTTAAGTGTTTTACCTTGATATCCTAGTTCAGGGGTGCTCTACACTGGCCCAGATCCAACACTGTATCACCCAATTTACAAGGCTCTCAAGTCTGAAAATTTGGCAGGGGGGTAGCCATGGTACCTCTCCCCAGCTGTCAAATTTCTGGACCTGTAGGGAGGCATGCAGGCCAGATAGTGGGATCTTCTCATCTGCTAGATCAGGCATGTGGGGCAGAAGCAGCGTGTGAGCAGAAGCTGCACAAGGCCCAATGCTGGCATGGGAACAACTCTGGCCTATAAATCAGCCCCTCACCCCTTTTCCGGCATGCAGGTTTAAAATTTCAAGCATCAATGTCCAAGTTTCTTCCCTTTTAAAAGCAGCCCAAACTCACTGGTATTATATCAATGATGGATGGAGCTCAACCCTTCTAGATAAAAGTTGATATTAATCTTCATTAAAGATAAATGCATAAAGCATTATTTAACAGACCCATCCTGAGACAGGCACCAATATCATTATTTTATTACCTTCTCCTTTGGCTTGACTGTCACTGCATTCTGTGATATAGATGGAAGAAAACCAGGTGCAGCAGGTTTATAAAGTCCAACTTTAAATACACCCTTTTTAGCTTTCTCTCTCTGCTCCTTTAGTTTTCGAAGTTCTTTTTCTTCTTTATAGCGTTGGAGCATTTCCTTGCGCTCATTTACACTTTTGATAGCTACATTTGTAGCTTGTTCTATGACAACATAAAAACATACATTTAACCAGGTATGAAAAGACATTGTTCCACTTCAATTTAATTACTGCAAAATGAGGTGACTAGATTACCAGTGTTCCCTGATTTATTATAGAAACCACTGACAAATATTTAGAATTCTCCTGTTAAGAGACAAGAGGATGATACCGAGGAGCAGACTTATTTACCTAGACGTTATGCTTGCATTAAGGATTTCAGCTAAATGCTTTCCTGTACAAAGCTGCACAAGTTTAATTGGCCTAGAGCAACTGCATGTGAAATCTTATATTAGTTTTGGCTTGTTATATCAATTGACCTGGTATAAAACAGATCACTGCTTTAGTTAAACCAGTATAAAACAAATCACTTCAGTTAAATCAGTGTAATTATATTTAGACAAGGCATAATAACCTAAACAAGGGCCAAGCATTAATAGAAATTGAAATGTGGGTACAAGGTTCAGTAGTGTTAGGCAACCATTAATCCTCTGGATCGCAGTGTACACATAATAAGATCTAGCCAGGTGCCTGATGAATCTACTTATATGGTGTTCTGCAACCATCATACCAAGACCTTTGACATGTACACCTAGGCAAGAGTATGGAGGAGAGGAGGCTACCCAAGATCTACCATCCCCATCTACCACTGAGACAGGATCCAAAGGCCAGATCAAGTCCAGACGTTCAGTGCTTTGATGGCTGTAGCTTCTCCCAGAGCAAAAAATAAGAACTGCTGCCAACTGCCTAAGCAAGGGCGAACTTCTGTCAGGAGGATGTCCCTTAGCCTTTCTCCAACCAAAGAGTTCCCAACAAGGCAGCGGAGCCTAGAGTTTCAAGGCGCCCTATACTCGCCTTACTCTGAAGGTTGCACCACTGTGGTATTTTATAGGAGCTATACCCGACCACAAGTAGCCCCACCACATTGCCACCAGGCCCTCCAGTAGGATGCAGTTTACGGTCACGCCCAGGTATGTTCAGGGAACGGGAACAATAACTACACTCTTCAGAGCTCAAATTACAAACTGAAGGAAAATAAAAGGAGCCAAAATCTGAAATGCTTTTCAACTGAAGGGGACAAATAATCAGATTAATAATTTTAGTTTAACTATTAATCTAAAATCGTAACTATTTATAAGATGCACATCTGGAAAAAAAATATCTATCTGAAAAGTTTGTCCCTATTACAGTTAGAAGCATCACTTAATATTACAATAACTAAATTATACCCACCCCCCCTTGGTGAGGCCACAGCTGGAGTACTGCGTCCAGTTTTGGGCGCCACAATTCAAAAAGGATGTGGAGAAGCTTGAGAGAGTCCAGAGAAGAGCAACGCGCATGATCAGACGTCAGGAAAACAGACCTTACAATGACAGGCTGAGAGCCATGGGGCTCTTTAGCCTGGAAAAGCGCAGGCTCAGGGGTGATCTGATGGCCACGTATAAAAGTTTACCGGGGTGACCACCAGGATCTGGGGGAAACTTTGTTCACCAGAGTGCCCCAAGGGATGACGAGGCCAACTGCGAGACCGTTTCAGGCTGAACATAAGGAAGAATTTCTTTACTGTCCGAGCCCCCAAGGTCTGGAACAGCCTGCCATCGGAGGTGGTTCAAGCACCTACACTGAACACCTTCAAGAGCAAATTGGATGCTTATCTTGCTGGGATCCTATGAACCCAACTGACTTCCTGCCCTTTGGGTGGGGCGCTGGACTCAATGATCTTCCGAGGTCCTTTCCAGCCCTAATGTCTATGAAATCTATTAAATTAATTACAATGGTGATATATTTGGCAACACTGTCATTCTCAATATTGTCTCTATGTTCAAAATTCCTCTTTCCTCCAAAAAAGGTTAAGTTGAAAACAGAAAGTCATTTAAATGTCGACAGAGAAGCAAGGTTTGTTTGATGATATCTGTCAGACCAACAATAAAGGAAAAATGTCAGAGAAGCTTTGGGGTGTGAACTGTGCCAAAAGTGGCCTGAGGAAGACATTGAGGTTACAAAAGCTTTTGTAACTTATCTCCCAACTATATTGCTGGTCCAATAAAAAAAAAATTACTAAATAAACCTTGCTTCTCACAAATTCCCTAGACTATAAAGGCTACAACATAACTTCAACCCTACCTGAATTTTAAAAGCATTGTTAAAAAATTAAATCTTCTATTAAAAGACTATCTACCTTTCACAAAACTGACTATTACATTAGGTGGTAAAGGTTATGCATTCAGCATGTTAAGTATTGCTCATTGCTTTGGAATCACGAATACATATGTTTCTTAAGCCACAAAGGCATAGCAGAATTGCAGAGCTAGAGACAACCCTTGGTACCTGTAGGTTCTGGGTTTTGGGGGGGTTTTTTGTTTTTTGGTTTTTTTTGAGAGAGAATGGAAGAAAAAAAAGATGCTATGTACAATCAGCATTGTCCCTTTAGTAGATAAGGCAGCATTGCCTAGTCTTGAATAAAGAGCTATCCTTCTTTCCAGCAGAAAAATATCATCAGGGAGAGAGTATTGGAGAAATTATGGTCAAATTGTATATTACAGTTCCACTTTTATAGTCAAATGATTACTATATAGTATAAGAAAACACATATGCACTCCATTTATAAGTTATAAATATCAGTAGCAAGTGTTACAGGTGAGAATTAATATTTATTTATTTAAACACCTCACATTTTATAAGCTGCTTAACAATGGAACTTAATAAAAAGCTAAGCCATAAGTGCATTAAATCCAAGGCAGGGTAAAGAACTGAAGCATCCTCATTGTAATGGGAAGGGGTAGACTAATATACACTAGTCTTCTTGCTATTAATTCGGTTCACGACAGTTTACTAGAACTAGTAGCCAGGGGACTTAAATCTTTGGCATTTTCCAATTCATAATGCTGAACTCGTTAAATTCCTTTGACTGCAGTGCATTCAGGCCTGCTTATTAAAGCAACTGAAAATCATTTTAACGGTAAAGTATGCTACAAGCTTTTACTCACTTTCTTTAACCTGGTTTTCCTGACACGACACTTCTTGCATCTCATCCAGTTGAGGAAGTCCCCTCCCTTTTGATGATTGGACATTGACATCTGCCAATCCAAACTGCCGGCTCTTTTCAAAGAGCTTGTGTCTGTTTTCCTTTTGAATCAGTGACTTCCTGCGTGCAGATTTTGTTCTAAGATTTTCTGTGCTCAGATCTTTTCTGTATCGATTGGCAAACTGGGATGTAGCAGCCATCTTCTCCAGCCAAGATAAAATTTCTACAGAATTAGGGAACAAAAAATAGGCAAGTGCTGTTTTTATTATTTTTATTTCAAAAAGCTCTGACATAACAGTAAAGGCTTCAGCATTCTTCCTCATTTTTGAAAGTTATCAAACAAATCATTACACATGACAATCTCAATAAAGGCTCTTCAGAGTATCTGTATGCAGCAGACACTAAAGATAACTTTCAGCCAGTGATCCCTAGGTCTTGTGTGGCATTATGCCAGTAAAGCAGACTTTTGCCACTGGACTGGCTATCTTCTGTAGGTGGTGCTCAAGGCAAACAAACCTGTTCCACAACTATTAAAGTAAATTAAAACTCCAAGGAAATTACTTCAAAGCTATAGTATCACAGAACTTGGATTGCAATCTTTTGGAGACATGTACTTTTTCTGTCCTATGTTACAGTGCCCTAACAACACTATGGTACCAACTCAAAACACTATTAGGTATTTGCAGTGCACTAATTACATTTACAGTAGTATTCTTCTATCAAAAATACAAGGCTACTTAGAAAATGATCCTCTCCCTACTTCGTGAATTTTGTATTCCAGAGTCAACAGTGCTCCACTGGGTGATTAAGACCTGTTCCTAACAGCCATATATGTAGCTTCTATGCTTTATGCTCCATTGAAGCAACCTCAAACTTGTTTAGGGCACCCCCCTACCTGGAGCTCAGAACTGCTACTTTGTTCTCAACTGTATTGATCTGGCCTTTACCATCAGTTAGGTCCTTTGCAAAATGTTGTCCTCCATTGGTAATGGAATGAAAAGTTCATTCAGTTTAAACTGAAGGATAGAATAAAAATAGGTCTGTTTCTAAGATTCACAGTTTCAAGACAGCAAACTCTGAGAAAATAGGGGACCTAGTTAGTCAAGTCAACTGAAACGAGGAGCTCATAAACTTGAATGAATAAGATGCAGAAACATAAATCCCAAACACTTTTGACTACCTGAAACCTATATTCCAAGCACAGTGAAAATCCTGTAGGGGAAGACTTGAGATCAAACAGGAAGAGAAGTGAGAACTGCCAATGAGATGGTGTCAGGGCCCTGATCAGGCATGCCAGGTTGGGCACCTGGGTAGTCACACCTGCCCCTAATCCCTGGCTGATGCGACTGCCCCAGGTCCCTGCAACTGAACTGCCTGCTGAGAGCACCACTCACCCCTTATAAGCATACCCACAGCCCCACTCTGTTCTGGCAAGCCTCATGTTTGCTGCTTTCTGGTTCTCCTGCCTCCTGACTCATCTTTGGCTTTCTCTGACCCTAATCTTGGATCTCCCCTGAACTTCAGTGCTGGCCCTGATCTCTCTGGTTTCCCTGGCATCCTGATTTGGCTTGGCTTCCTTGAACCTGACCTCAAGATCTTCCTTGGGACTCAGCACCAGTCCTCATACTACATATCTTTGATCTCCCCTCTTGGCTCCAGTAACCTGTGCCCCCACCCTGTAGAACCCCAGATTACTCCTGGAGGCAGCCATGCCACCAGTAGGCCAGTGTCCTGGCTGAACCCCCACAGATGGCTAAGAGGAGTAAGGACAGGGATAAAAACTTAGGTGGAAACAAAAGTCACAGCTTAATTGTACAAGAAGAATATTCTGCAAGAACTAGCACCAAAAATAAGTCTGGTAGGAAAGACCACCAGGAAAACTATCAAAACAGGATGATAGCACATGACTGAAAATAGCAGATGATGTTTTCCTATTTCATTTCTTTAGAATACTCCTAGGTTTTTTGCAAAGGTAACTAATGTAAATAGAATAGATCAATGGTACAAAACAGTGTCACTTAGACATGCTGAGGCTCAGAGTAATCATACCCAACTCTTAGACAGTCAACTCTAAGAATTCATAAATCCAGTTCACTGCCTAAGCTCCCCACACAGTAAATAGGGATGAGTTAGTCACCTAAGAAAAAGGAATTCTAGGCACCTAGTAGTTAGGGATTTAGGAGCCAAAACTCCAGTCCTCACTAAGGCCCCTACATTATCCCTGTGCATACAGATAACTGTCTCACCTTTTTAAAACACAAGAGAAGGCAACGGTGCCAGTGATAGTGCCCACATTTTATGAACAGTCTTGCAGTTAGACCCCTGAGCCAAGAAAAGTGACATGCAGGTACAGTGTCCTCTCCAGCTTAAAGGGCTCAAACTCATCTCCCATGTCCCAGGAGAGTACCCTAACCACCTTCTAAAGGATCAGCTGGGTTGGAAGCAGTCCTCCAACAAACATCTATTGTACAATGATGACAACAGTCACTTCTTTCAGAGAAAGATTATACAGCCTTGTATTAAAGAATCACAGGGTTTGAAGGGTCATCCAAGTACTAGCTCCCACACAAATGCATCCTAACCCATCCTGGACCAAGGATGACCCACCCAACCTCCTCTTGAAAATGTCCAAAGAAGAAAAGTCCCAAATTCCACTGTCCCACTCTTCTTAGAGTTGAGAAGGTGTTTTCTTTCTTCCTTTCTCAAGATTAAATCCAAACCTGCTTTGTTTTAGTTTAGACCCATTACTTCATGCCTTGCCTTCTGCAGTAAGGAAGAATAGCTGTTCTCCCTCTTCTTTATAGCAGCCTTTTAAATAATTTAAAACTGCCATTGTGTCCCTCCCTTCATCTCCATTTCACCAAATTAAACCTACCTAATTTTCTCAACCTTTCCTTGTACAGTTTCCACTCTAACTCCTTTACAACCTCCACTGCTTGCCTCTGGATCCTCTCAGTTCTTTAAAGAATGTGGAGCCCAGAACTGTAAGCAATGCTCCAGCTGAGGCCTAAGTAGCACCACGCAGGTGAGACTATCACCTTTCATGTCTTGTATACAATACTCCTGGCAATACAGCCCAAAACAGCATTTGCTTTCTCTCGACTGCATCACATTGCTCACTTATGTTGAGACTGTGATCCACCAAAACTCACAGATCCTTCTCAGCTATGCTCCTGCCTAACCAATTAGCGCTCATTCCATATTTTTGCATTTAGTTCTTCCCTAGGTAGGGCCTTACACTGGTCTGTGCTGAACTTGTCACCCTGTATATAATTCTTCAATTTATGGAGATTCCTCTGAATTCCACTACAATTCTACTCCCCCAATGTGTTTGCAGCCCCTCTCAGTATTTTCTCACCTGCAAACTTCATGCAGAAGCTCTGTATTCCTGCATTTAAGTCATTAGTAAAAATGTTAACACTGGATCCAGTGGCTCCCCACCTGAAATCTTCTGCCGCTTGGACCTCGATCCACAAAGTTACATTCTGCTTGTGTTATTCAACCAATTACATACTCACACAACAGTGATTTTATCTAGTCCACATTTCTACTGTAGATGAGAATGCCAAGTGGGACCATATCAAGTCTTACTAAAGCCCACTGCACTCCCTTGATCCACTGAGCTAGTTTCTCTAATCAGAGTTTCAAGTTGGTTTGGCAAGGTTCACAAATCCATGCTGGCTGCTACTGATTGCACCTTCCTCTCCCAAGTGCTTACCTGCTGACAGTCCTACAGTTTGCTCTAGTACCTTCCCAGGTGTTAACCTCAGGCTGACCAATCTATAATTCTCCAGGTCTTCCTTTTTAGTTAGCTCTTCTCCCATTCCCTGGGATTTCACCTGTCATGCATGACTTCACAGGTACTATTATCAGTAGCTCTGACATTTCTTCAGCACCCCAAGATGAATTTTGTCAGGTCATACTAGCTTAAATTCCTTCAAATTGGTCAAAACAGCTTTTATACCTTTGTTTTTTTCATGAACTGCAGCCTTTCCTCTTCTTTGTTTATATTAAATTGTTAGCAGTCTGGTCACAGCTTATTTTTTTGAGATAGACTCAGTAGTCACTGAACAGCTCTGCCTTCTTCACATCCTTTATTAGCTGCTCACTATTGAGCAGTGGATCCAGTTTCCCAAGTATTTCCTTTCTATATAAAATATTTTGAGAATACCTTTTTGTTGTCAGTCACATCCCTTGCCAGATCAGATACATAAATAGGTAGGTAGGTAGGTAGGTAGGTAGGTAGGTAGATAGGTAGGTAGGTAGGTAGATAGATAGATTTTTTTCACCTTTGCATTCTTGATCTTCCTATTCCTTGGTATACATCCTTAGTGACTCTCCTTTCCTTCCACAGACTGTAAAGTTCCCTTCTCATTTTGAGAGGCAAGGATTGTTTGGGATAGTTTTTATTGGACCAGTTATGGCTGGGAGAGCTGTTGGAAAAGCTTTGGGGGCATTAATTGGCCTTCCTCAGATCTAAGAAAGAGGAAGACACAGGCTGAGCTAACTAGGAGACAGAAGAGTCTGTGTTAACACAAACAGTCTGCTTAGAGAGATGGAGGAGAACTGTGAACAAAAGGGCAGGAGAAAGGGCAAGATAGTAAGCGGCAGAGGAGACCATCAAGAAGGGAGAGGATAGTTATAACCTGCAGAGCGCAGGGAGATCAGCAGCAACATTTGTTAGGTTGTAGTGAGCCATACTCGGGATACGAGAGGCAAAGATGTCTTAGGGAAATAGCTTTGATTGGACCAACTGTACAGTAGGAGCTTTCCAACACAAGACATGCTTCCTTCATCAGGTCTCTTGCATGAGAAAGCTGGCCTAACTCTACTGCACAGCTAGTCCAATCAAAGAATAAAAAAACCAAAGTAACTAACAGTGCGCACAAGATAAAATAAACCCCGATCCCCTGGGACAGTGGTTTTCAACCTTTTTTTATTTGCTGACCCCAAAAATGGAGGTGCAGACCCCTTTGACACATAAGTATATTCATATACTTCTGACAGATCATAGTAATCTTTTGTGGACCCCATAGATTAGGGGTAGGCAGTCCCCAGCACAGGTGCCAGAGCTTGGCAAATGAAGGCATTCTGCTTAGCACGCTCGCTTCGGGGTGGACAGTGAGGAATAAGCTGGGGCTGCGCTGTCACAACAAGGATCAGGCCTCTCGCAGCTCCCCCACCATCCTCCCCTGGCACATCAACATCTTACAAATTGAGGCTGCAGGGGTTGTTGACACTGCCCAAAAACATTGCCAACCCTTGCCTTGGACACAGTCAAGAGGTCTGCAGACCGCAGGTTGAAAGCTACTGCCCTCGGACATCCTTGCCTCCCCTGTCCTGCCTGAGCCATTGTGGCCCCCGCGCCCTCCTCCTGCTGCCACCTGGGGCACAAGCTGGCTCCTAAACCCACGCTCCTTATTCCCAGTTCCTTCTTCAAAGCTCGCCTCCATGCAACCAGGGGCTGCTCACAATGAAGCAGACTGGCGAAAGTCAGCCTTTCATCCAAAAAACTATGTTTGCTAAAGAGAAAGTAACAGCACATCACACATCGAATACGCAGGCCTGAAACAGGAGCAGGAATGAGGGGGCAAAACCCACTTCTGGAGACTGGCAACAAGGAGCCACTTCAGCCTCAGGGGTCGGGCTGATGGGGGGGGGGG